TCTAATAACTATACTTGCCAGTATAACTTCAAAATTTGATTAACAAATTGTAGCTCTCAAAGCCGTTGTCGAACTCTGACCTAGTCATGTAACGCCCGGTTCCCGGTACGTATTTTTAATATAAGTTTTTACATTTTTACTCTAGGACTCGACGAGTTGGAGGCCTTAACTCGTCGAGTAGATGGGAATTTTGGGACGCGGGTGGAAGAATCAACTCGCTGAGTCGGAAGCCCCGACTCGACGAGTAGACCTGTCGGGTTGAAACCCTAAGTTTGAGGGTTTTCACCCTATTTAAGCAACTTATAGGACCTCCATTCCAGCCTCCATCACCTTCAGACTCTCTTCACGAAACGCTAATCGAATATTAAGTTTTCTTGAGCTTTTTGTGCTATTTGTGTGTCTTTGAAGCTTAAGAAAAAAGAGGAAGCTTGGTAGATCAAGAGAAAGCAAGTGGATCCAGAGGTTTTGGCACATTCCCAGCTCATTTGAGGTATAAAGCTGATACCTTGACTATTCATTTCTAAGTCTTAGTGAAGCCATATTCGGGATTGTGAGTATCAGTGGGGTTGTACTTCAGATCTTGAACCTTTAACGGTTCCCATGGTATAAAGGTGCCAACTTTATGGCCATGGGAGTCCCATGCACCATGTAGACTTCATTTTGGGTCCTTATGAGCTAGTTAACCCATGCATGCACGTAAAGTTTGTAACTTTACGTGCTATATCGATCCTGTGAGGTCATATCTATGTTCTGGATGCATTAAGCCCGACTGAAATCGACTTGGTAGACTTGGACTTTGGGGGACTCGGCGAGTCGCTCATAGGACTCGGCGAGTCGGGTCATGGTTCCCCAACCTTTTCTGTTTCTAAGCAATTTGGTTAAGTCTAGAAGAGGACTCAACAAGATGGACGTGAATATGGACTTGAAGATCTAGAACTCGACGAGTTCCAGGATGAACTCAGTGAGTTCAAGACAATGTCCCAACTGTTATGAAGAAGGACTCGACGAGTTCAAGGATGAACTTGACAAGTCAATGAGCAAATGTTCCTACCCGTGTGAAGGAGAACTCGACGAGTTCAAGTGAAAAGTCTCAATTCTGTCGTAAGGAGAAACTCAGCGAGTTAGAGGGTAACTCGACGAGTCTGATCGCGAATGTGAATTTCTCTGAGTTATGGAACTCGACGAGTTGATGGATCAATTCGGCGAGTTGAGTCAAACAGGATGTTGACTTTGACCATGGCGTTGACATTGACTTTGACTTTGATCTGAGTTGACCCTTGAAAGGGTTATGAGTATGAAAGGGTAATTAAGGAAGGTTGTTATGTGTAGGAGTTTGAGAGGAGTCGATTCCAGCACCGATGACAGTTCAGTTACTGCATGACATTGAGGTGAGTTACCTTCCAGTACAGGTGGGTCTAAGGCCACAATGTCGGCCCACTAGTAGGAAGTTGTTTGTTAGATGATTTTGTTTGTGATAATTATCTGGTATGCCATTATATGTTATGTTTGTGTGCTAGGATGCTTTGTGATATATGTTAGTAGTGGTAGGGGTGAAATAGTCCCCGGTTACCGGTTGAAAGATACCGAAGGGGTCGTCAGAACCCAAGCATGTCTAGCAGTGTGTTATATTATAATGTGGTAGTGGTAGGGGTGAAATAGTCCCCGGTTACCGGTTGAAATATACCGAAGAGGAGGTCATCTCCCGGTTACCGGTTGAAAGATACCGAAAGGGAGCCCAGCTTCCAGTTATGCCAGGCAGATACCGGTTGAAAGATACCGATGGATAGGCATTATGTGTTTATGGTACGTGGTATGATGGGGGAACTCACTAAGCTTCGTGCTTATGGTTTTCAGTTTTGTTTTCAGGTACCTCTTCTTTGAAAGGGAAGGAGCCGGCACGGTAGCAGCGCATCACACACACATAGGATTTCCGCATTATGAGATTCTTGGGATTGTACTCTGACATTATTACTATTTTATGATATGGTTTGAGACACATGACTATGTTTTATGAAATGATATGAATCGATGATGTTTTTCAGTAATCTGTTTTATAAATTGCTTAATTAAAAACAAAATTTTTGGTCTTGAAAATTGGGATGTTACAAGTCAGTTACGTGTCCTAAGATAAGTGATCAAATATTCCTCCGTTCTACAAGATATCGTACGGACATGAGACATGGATTATAATTAATCTCATTGTCCAAGTTTTGTTTCCTGATTTCTGATTTATGATGACAGAAATTAGACTATTAATTGAACACATCAATTCAGTCCAAGCTTGACCAAGCACTTTAGATGTCGACATCAAATCATGGAGGGTCCCACAAATATCGCTTTTCCCGTTAGGGAAAAAGGAACGGATAAATTTCGACTTATATGCGTGCACCATTCACTCATCAATTCATGCACAATACGTTTTATCACATCAAGTTACTGATGTGTTTACATATTATCAATACACCACCACCGTTTAATTCACCACCACCACCGCCACCGCCACCTCCGACACCAACTCTGGTTCTTCTCTCTTCCATCAATCTAGAAGCAATCGTTAATCGGCGAAAAGAATAGAGAAATATAACTAAAAACAAAGGTTGGATGTCATCTGGATTTGATTTCTATAGAATCGAAATCGGCAAAACCTACGCACAAAAAGATAATCTACATGCACCGACACCTTTATTTTTCCTCAATTTCTGTTTCTGTCTATATATATAAGCTTGGTGTCTGTGTACATATATAGAGAGAGATAGACATGGAAAACTAAAAAGGGTTTAATTGGCAGCCATTAATCAGAGGTCTTAGAGGATATGCTTTTATGGAGTTGGTGATTATTGTTTTCTTTGTGGTTTAATTTGAGTTTTAGATCGATTGAGTCGTAGAATATGATATATATATATATATATATATATATATATATATATATATATATATATATATATGTGTGTGTGTGTGTGTGTGTGTGAGAGATAGTTCATTTGAGACGAACATAATTTTGTGAGACCATGAAACCAAATTTTTTTATTGAAATATTCTAATATTCTGTTGTTGGTAAAAATAGGATATGCAATATATTTTAACATTATATGTTTTAGAATATTTCAATGTAAATTATGTTAAAATTATTGTTTTAGAATATTAGAATATTACACATATTTAATTTTTATGAACACTAGAATATTAGAATATTTCACTTGAAAAAAGTGGTCTTATGGTCTTACAAAATTAAGTCGTCTCACATTAGCCTAACTATATATATATATATATATATATATATATATATATATATATATATATATATATATATATATATATATTATTGTTCTAAACTAATATATTTTATAATACTTTAGTATTAGTGTTTGAGTAGATTTGGTTATGATTTTGTAATTTATGAGGTGGATTTTAGTTTAATTCTTATAACTTGTGAAAAAAACCACGTCATCAAGGATATTGGTAATAACATGTATTGAGTCTTTTTTAGAAGGTAAAAATAGACTTTATGTCTCTAAACTACCAAAAAAAAGTCACGAGGCACCACTTAATCCAATATACTAATGTTTGTTGGGCTACAATGACAATAGCCCTATTTTTTTAACAGTTTGGAAACTTCAAATGTATTTTTTGTATTAAAATGTGTACTTTGTTGGTATTCTGTGTACAAATAATATACTTTAATGTTATTTTTTGTACTTCAAAAAATGATACTTATTTAACATTTTGGAAACTTCGTTACCCTATTAAGTCATTTTTCCGTTTACATGAGGTAACCGATTAGCATAAGATTTTATTAAAATTATTTATACTTCATTGATATTTTGTGTATAAAAAGTATACTTTAATGATATTTTTTATACTAAAAAAACAATAATGATATTTTTGAACATTTTAAAAACTTATGTGTTGTTTGTTTTTTTGAAGCAAAAATTTATGAAATATGCGGGCCACCTCTGCAATCCTCTGCAACAGAAGAGGTTGACCAAACAGCTGCTAACTGTAATAAGAAACGTGTTGTTTTTTAACATCTACAAACTACTGTAGATATTAAAAAATTAAAATAAACTGATTTTATAAACCGAAAATAGTTTTTCAATACAAATTTATCACATTTCAGCAAAAAATAATGGCATTTCAACAACAGTTTATTAGATTTTAGCATCAATTTATCATATTTCAGCAACAATTTATCACATTTCAGCAAAAATAATGACATTTCAGCAAAATGTATGACATTTGAGCAAGAATTTATGATATTTCAGCATAAATTTGTGACCTTTCAGAATAAACCAAAAAAAAAACGGAAAAAAAGATGAAACAAGAATTGAACAAGATTTCAACAACATAAAATAAAGATTCAACAAGAAAAAAAAAAAGAATAACACGATTCAGCAAGAATAAAAGAAAAAAGAACTTACCTGAAGTCGATTGACCAGACGAGGAAGGAGGGTAAGCCGAGAAGGAGGCTGCGACGGCAAGCTGGATGCAACAGGGGGATTCCACCAAAGAGGAAGCGGTCGAGTCAATGGGGGAGACGATGGGAGAGTGCGGCGTTTGTTTTTTTTATTTTTCTTATTTATTTATTTATTTAAGTGGAGGCCTAATTTTTTTTTTAAAAATTTTAGGTTTGAAGAGGTTGGAAGAATCAATACAGGTTCACATAAATAAATAGGACGTGTTCGGCACGGAGCGTTTGAGAGCTTCTAGCTTCTAGCGTTTGACAAAACGCTCATTTTTTAACAGAAAACTTCGTTCGGCACTACAAGCTTTTAGCGTTTAGTTTAAACAAAACGCTTCAAATCCAAATGCTATTTCATGTAGCGTTTAACAAAACGCTACAAGCTACAAGCTAGCCGCTACACGCTATAAGTCATCCGCTGCCGGCTAATTTTGCCGAACTCGCCCGTAGTCTAGTCTGAACATGTTTTTTTTTTTTTACTGAAAACAAAACACCTAAGTTACCTAAAGTCATTTACCGTTTTAATTTTAGCATTTTTGCACAAAAACATTTTAGAATCAACAATCTCAAACACCCGTTTGGAACCCTAGTCATTACAATCGAACACAAAAGATATCTTTGTGATCATCGTTTACCATGATTGCTCTTCGTCGTTTTCGTTTTACCACCCGAGTTCCCTGCATTAGGGCTTCGCCGCTCGGTTCTTCTTCTTATTCATCAGATTCCGTTCCTGAACCTCTTCCTTCTTACCCATTCGACTTACATTCGTCCTCTGATCTCATAAGAAAACAACATTGGAGTGCTCTCAAAATCCTAACCAAATCCACAAACCCCGACAGTTTTCTTCAACAACTTTATGATTGGGGTGCACCTTACGACGTCGTTCTAGGATACTTGAAGTGGTCACACCAAGAGTTCCAGGTATGCCACTCACTTGAACATTACTGCAGACTGTTTTACCTGCTAGCAAATGGTAAACAGTTCGGAAGAATTAGGGCTTTGTTTGATAATCATTATGTTAAGATTGCGATTAGCAAATACTCTCCTTCTTCAGTTCTTCGTATGCTGGAGAGGGTTTGCGATAATGTCTGTGCAAATTCGATTATAGTTGATTTGTTAATATTAGGTTATGCGAAGAACTCAAAGACAGATTTATGTTTCGAGGCTTTTGATAGAGCTGGTGATTACGGGCTGAAGTTATCAGTATGGTCATGTAATCGATTGATTAAGTTACTGGTGAATCAAGAGAAATTTGGACGTGTTGAGTTTGTTTACAGAGAAATGATTAAGAGAAGAATTGAGCTTAATTTATCTACATTTAACATGGTAATCAATGGGTTATGCAAAGTTGGGAGGCTTCACAAGGCAGGAGATGTTCTTGAGGATATGCAAAGTAGAGGGATTTTGCCTTCAGTAGTGACCTACAACACACTCATTGATGGCTACTGTAAAAAAGGTGGATCTGGTAAAATGTATAAAGCTGAAGCCTTAATGAAAGAAATGATCAAAAAGAAAATCTCCCCCAATGAAATTACATACAATGCCCTCATTGATGGTTTTTGTAAAGATGAAAATCTCTCTACTGCAATGAACTTTTTCAAGAAAATGGAAGTCAGTGGATTAAAACCCGATGTGGCTACTTATAATTCTTTAATCAATGGGCTATGTGGTTTGGGGAAGCTTGATGAAGCTATTGTTTTACATGACAAAATGGTGGAATCAAATGTGAAGCCAAGTATTATCACCTATAATTCTTTAATGAATGGGTTTTCGAAAAAGAAACTGGTAAACAAATGTAAAGAGTTATTCAATGATATTCATAATCAAGGTTTGATTCCCAATGTATATACTTATAATACTTTAATCAATGCTTATTTCCGAAGTGGGAATTTTGAAGAAGCAGTTAAAGTATACAAATCAATGGTAGAAGGCAGTGTTACTCCCAATGTTTCAACATATAATTCTTTAATAACTGGATACTGTAAAGAAGGAAACATGAAGGAAGCTAATAAGGTTTTAGATAACATGAAGGAAAAAGATTTGAAAGCTGATATTGTAACATATAATATAAGAATTGGTGCACTTTGTAAGCAGGGGAACACAGGGGAGGCAATTAAGCTACTTAATGAGATGTCTGTAGTGGGTTTGATTCCTATTCAGCTGACTTATAATATCTTGATTGCTGGATATTGTGGGGAGGGTAATCTTAAGGGTGCTTTGAATGTAATGACAAGAATGGAAAAAGAAGGGAGGCGTTCTAATGTTGTTACATATAATGTGTTGATTAAGGCTTTTTGTGAAAAGGGTAAATTGGAAGAAGCTAATGTGTTTCTTAACAAGATGCTTGAGAAAGGTTTGGTACCTAATCAGAGAACTTATGATATTGTTAAAGAGGAAATGATGGAGAGAGGATTTGTGCCTGATATTGATGGACATCTTTATAACAATCTTGTTACTTCTTGATCTGTAAATGAGGTCTCATGTTCAAATCTTGGCATCACCTTTTTTTATTGGGGATATTGTGATTTACCCTCCTCATGTGGGACCCGTTGAGTGGGGTCCATAGGGGTGGTGGTGTTGACCTTCAAAGTCTGATGCTTTTGGTTGACAATTTGAAAAATGAAAGATACAAGAGCACAAAAGGCGTAAGATTTTTACAATCTACAGAGGTAATGAAATGATAAAGTTGTATTTGTTTGGGTGGAAGGAATTCAATTCCATTCTTCTGTTTTTGTTGGAAGACCAAAATACCCCCATTGTATCTTTTTAAAGAGCAGTTGTTTAATGCATATAAGGTGAAATGATGCTTCTTCAGAGGTAAATTTAAGCTATTTGATGGGTTATTCTTAATTTCTTGTATAATGAATTATATAAATTGTAGAAGTGCAATTTGTTGGGCTTGTCTGGAAAAGGGAGAAAACAAGGGAAATTGGTGTTGTTTTTCATTGACTTAATCAAGACAAGATTCAAGGCTTGTTTCTTTTTATTTTCCCTATTATGTCATGTATATGAATAAAGATAAAGTAGAGTGAGATGATTTCACTTCAAAAGACAAATATTTAGAAAGGCTCTAGCAGCTTAGGTTGTTTTTGGCTGACTAGCTAAAAAGTTTTTAGCTAGTTTTTTGCTTGATAAAGTAGCTGGTAAAGTAGTAGTATTGACTAAAGCTAGCTCTCATGTCATGCAGGGTGGCAATTCAAAAATATAGTAAAAGGACATTTAGATATATTTGGAAAATTTGCATATAAGTGTAAAATTGGAAAATTTTGTAGTAAAAACCCTATGAGTTTCTTAATAAATTATCGCAAATAACTTTTTAGAATGCTATCTTAGATTATCTCGGTTGGGGTGATGAAGAGATCGAATATTTAAAATCTACACTAAAACTAGTCTTTTACCATTGGAGTCGATGCACTTTTTAGTTGAATAATTCCACAACATGATATGATTTTATTTTTGGAATTTATATTTGGTTAGTATTTCAGTCTATATTAATAAAAAAAAATTAGATTAACTTCAAATTTAGTCCTTATAGTTGGCAAATTTTTTTGATAAGGTTCAAAATATTTTCAACTTGCACCATTTGGCCCAAAATCAAATTTTTTTGTCCTTAGAAAACTTGAAATGATTTTTTTGTCATTTTAATTTCTTTTTTACATTATTTTTAACATTTTTTCAATATATATATATATAGGGCTAGGCTAAATGTTTCTAGCAACTATTGTGTGCTCGTAAGCACAAATTTGGGCCTTTGGATGAATAAAATCAATGGTCATGATCTGAGGGTCTATGGTAATACAATAGGGTAACATGTACCATATAATCATACAAATTTCAGCATAAGGGTATTTTGGTCAATTAATCTATATTAAAAGAAGAAAACTTTTGGATTTTAAGGGATAATTAATTCTCTTATTTTTAAAAATCTAAACTTTTTAAATTAATTCAAATTTAATTCTAATATAACTTTTAACCGATTTTATTCTGTCAGAATGATAGAAAGTCAACAATAAACTACTAAAGATATTTTCGATTTTATTCTTACAGAATAGGGTTTCATTCAAAAAAAAATTATAATTAACACGCTTAAAGAATTATACAACATATTATCAAGAATAGCATTTTCTAAGAATAGAGATTTTATTCTTTAAAAATCACTAATTATATTAATTCGTAAAGAACAAAGACTATAAACAAGTATTACATTCATTCTAAAAAAAATATGACTAATAATGGTTTAAGAATTACATTTATTCTTAAAAATTAAAACTAAGATTGGTTAAAAAAAGAAAAAAGACATCAAAATCTAACAAAAACTCTAATTCATTCCAAAAGAATATTATTGTTAAGAAACATTTAATACATTCTGGCAGAATACATTCTGCTAGAATACACTCTCGTTTTCTATTTTTTTTTTCCTTTTTCACATCAATGGTAGCCTCTTCAAGATCTAAATCCACAAAGAAAACAATAATTAACTTTCTAATATTAAAAAATTCAATGCATTCTAAGAGAATAAAAACTATAAATTATGATAAAATGTAGTAGACATTAAAGAATTGCAATTTATTCTGATAGAATGTAATCCTCAAATCACTTGATCAAAAACTGAGGTGTATGAAGAAGTGTATTTACTCATGTGGCCTTTAATCAACTATGACACTTCAAAAAGGCCTCGATGTTTCTAAGTCAAAAGCTCCCTTGCTCATTACAATAAAATTGCATTATAAATTAATAAAAAAATACCTGGTAATTTACAACCATGTGAAATTTGAGTTAAACTAATTACTATCTACAACCATTAAAATGTACCTTTGATAAAAATTATATTCTATGAGAATGTCATGAAATAAAATTGTAGACATTTACATTCTGTAAGAATTTTGTCATGAAAATAAGTTCTAGGCATTCTTGAATGTTGAACAATCATATCCTGCATCAGAAAATAAGAATTAACAATTTGTGTTGAAAATTTGGCCTGAACAGACCCTGTTCAAGGGAATGTAAATCAGTCATTATTAGTCGAATCTGATTCCTTTGTGTGTGAATACGATTAGGAGAGTGAAAATTGGACAACGGCTAAAAAAAATAATTAAATAATCTCAAATATATATATACGAAGGAGAGTGAAAATTGATGAACCTTTTTAAAATGATTAATGTGACTTAATAATCAAAAACCATATACTTGATTATAACTATGAATAGATGAATAGCTATGCAATTTACAATTACTCATAAAAAATTGAGTCCAAATGTATCGTAAAGATACAATTAATGTTTACCAACAAAATTTTATTTTAATATAAAAAATGCAGAAGCTTTAAATCAATCGCCTCTGTTTGTTCTTTACCTTCTAATTTATGAATTTAACAATTCAAAACCAAAATTGCTTTCGGTAAATGCTTAGTTTAGAAATTCAACCAAAAGAGAAAAAAAAAATCATACCGTTAAGAATTAAAAGCGCTGATTAGCTTTTGAAATAGAACAAAATCCTTGGCTCCAAGTTGATTGATTGATACGAAGAACAAAATATGTGCTTTTATGTGTCTTCCTTGTGTTGGCGGTGGTGTGTGAATACGATTAGGAAGATACGAAAGATGCCTTAGGGTTTATACATGGAGATGACGGTGGTGGTGGTATATGAGTTGAATCACGGTGTGGCCGACGTTTTTAGAGAAATAGGAGGAGCGGGTGGTAGTGTTTACAGGTGGCATAGGGTTTTAATAGGTGAAATAAAACTGATCCCTTAAATAAAGGGATATCAATTGTTAATTTTTGATATTAATCAATACATATATGTAATATTACTAATCTACCCTTTTTAATTTAATTAATGATTATATTATTGCTAAATTCCTATTGGTTTATACATCCATACAATAGTTATAAAAAACATATGAACCTCTCTCTCTCTCTTTCTCTCTCTCTCTCTCTCTCTCTATATATATATATATATATATATATATATATATATATATATATATATATGAGCGTTCAAGCGAGAACGATTCTTATTGTGAGAACATTTAATAACAAACTTGGACCACATAATTTTTTTAATTAAAATTATAAAATAATATTCATATAAATAAAAAAAATAGTTAAAAACAATTAAAAAAACTCATTACCCAACACTACCCATCACCATCACTTACAACCTACTAACCACGAACCACCACCATTCACCCACCACCACCCACCAACCACCACTACTCACCATCACTCACCACTATCCACCGACCACCAATCACCACAACCTACAACCCACTACCACCACCCGTCACCACCACCCACCTCCACACCATCATCACCAACATTACTACATGCAACCACCATCTTACATCACCCACCCATCAACACCACAACCACTGACCCACCCACCACCTGTCACCCCCACCACCCTTCACCACCACCCAGAACTACAATAAATCAACTATCACCCATGACCCACCACCCTACGACCACCACCTACCACCATCACCCTTCACCACCACCCTTACTACCCTCCCCACCTCCACCACCATCCACCACCACCCATCTCCACCATACCACCACCACCCATCTCCACCATACAACCACTACCTACTATCTGCAACCAAATGTGATTGAATGCATATAATCATATAAATCATGTTTGATTCAATATATTTAATCACATAAATCACAAATGATTAAATACATATAATGACATGTGATTATATGTATCTAATCACACATAATTCATATAAACAATATTCATTTTCATGTTTTCCATTCAATAACGTTTCTCATGCATTTAATCATATCTGATTATATGTATTTAGTAACATATGATGAACTAGGTTATAACCCGTGTACGACGTGGGGTCTGCCAAGTAAAACAATTTTTAAACTTTATATACATAATAATTAATAATAAATTTGCAAATTCCTTTTTATTGTCATAGAATATATATAAATATAGATAGTGTAAAATTTTCCTTTTGGAAATATCTCATATTTCAAAGAACATATGTCAAACGCATATTCGGTGTTGCATTTGTTGGATGTGTATATATAAATTTTTACATAAAAGACGTCATTTTTTTTTTTAACATTTTACTATTCTCATATGTGCATAGATAGGGATGATTTTTCTTCGGTTGAAACATGAATTAAAAAATGTTCTCAAATATCTTGTTGTTAATATGTTGTGTTTCAAACTTTCATCTTTAGTAATTAGGAATTTTGTATTTTGCTTTTTCAAATTTCTTGTATTTTTCTTATAAAAGCATGGCATGAAAACAAAAGTATATTGAGGTTCTTCAACTTCTTTTTTTTTTTTGCCACATTGTTGATCAAGAACTCTAAGAAATATTCTTACATCAAAACCATATATTTTTATACATAAAACTGTACACAAAAAAATCTTGTATTAAAGTTTTAACTAAGTACAACGAAACAATGACACAAATGATAATCAACATATTCGATTTTGTAGTG